CCTGAGGAAAGAGAACAAGAGCTGCTGCAACGAACAGAGAAGTGCCTGGAAGCATCCATTGATGGATTCTGCAGAACTGTTCTTGACCCGTGAGCCTAGCCCTGGGTGCCGGGATGACACCAGGGCCAGGGTTCCTGCGCTTGGCCCTTGTAGTGGAATCATCAGACATTTGCCTAGCTGGGACAGTAATCCAGGGAGGCCAAAACAGGGAAGCAAATGGGGCTGCTGCCATTCATGGGGCAAGCCTGTCAAGGCGGAATGGCATGAGCAGCTTAAACATCCCCAGAAGGAAGTGTGAAGCCCTAAATCCTGTGCTAGCCTGGTGATCTAACTTAGCCTATCAAGGGAATCTTGGGCGGCTCCTGAAGGTGGAAAGCATGCTGCCATAAGCAGCAGGGGGGCCTGAAGAAGGCTTGTGGTGTGAGCAGGGGAACCAGGGGAGATAGCTAGGCAGTTTTGAGCACCTTGGCTGCCTGTGCTTCTTGGAAAATGTCCATCCAGGGTTACAGATGAAGGGCACAGAGGAGAGGCTGCCAGAGCAGCAGGGCAGGCAATAGGACCTGCCTGTGGATATGGCTGAGTGGGTTCTCGACCCTGTCTCTTCCCCTTCCCCCTTGCCTCCCCCCTCCTGCTCCCTCCCCCAGTCCTCTTTGCCCTCTGGAAAATCCTGTGGCCAGAATCTGGGCATGGTTCACCTTTGAGCCTGTTTCTGTACCAGCAGCTGCCTCAGGGTTAGAGATTACAGTCCCCGCCCTCCCCTGCAGGTTCTGCAGCCCACTGGAACACACTGCTTCACCGCTGTCCTCCAGATGTTTGTGTACCACAGGTGTTTCTTGGGAGTGATGGGGACTGGGGAGAGGGACTGCGAGGGGGGGCAGGGCACTGGGTGACGCCTGGAGTGGAGCCTCCACTGCACTGCTCCACCCACCGGCCTCTCGCCAAGGGACCCTGGTGGTGGCAGCTGCAGTGTGGTGTGTCTCCAGACGTGGCTGACACCAACCAGCTGTGGGTGGGTACGCACCCCTGCCCAGGAATCCATTTTCACTCTACCCCCACTTTGACCCCGTGGTCACTCACGTATCTTTTTATATTTATTTATTTATTTCAGAGTGACACACACAGAAACAACTGCCCTCCGCTGATTCACTCTCCAAATAGCCACAACAGTCAGACCAAGCCAGGAGCCCGGAATGCTTCGCAGGTCGCACCCAAGGGTGGCAAGGGACAGGGCCGTCATCTGTTGCCTCCCAGGGTGTGTCTTAGTAGGCAGAATAGCACTGGGATAAGGGATGCGATGCGGCTCCCCAGTCCTCAGTGGTACCCACCCCAGAACGCACTTCTCTAGCGCGCTTACATCAGTCAGAAGAGACTTTGCTGCCCTCAGGTGCAAGGCACTCCTGGAGGGGACATAAGGTTTCCCCGGCAGGACAAGCCCCTTTTGCACCTGCCGCTCCCTGAGGAGCATAGAGATCAGCTTTGTCTCAGGGAACAGGCATTCCTAGAACAGTGAAGGCAGCGGTGAGTCTGAAGCTGTATCCAGCTGCTCTCCTGGCCCAGTCAGCACCCCTCCCTGATGCTGGCGGTTGCACAGGGCCCCACACCCCCTGCCAAAAGTCAAAATTAAAAACCAATATGTGTGAGGGAAAAAAAAAAAAAACAACAACAACAACAGCCCAAACATACCCGAATCTCTCCCCTCCATCCCTGGGTGATGGGTTTCTCCCCCTCATTTCCATCCCCCCATCCTGGCGGAGGCAGGGGACAGGACCCCACAGCTCTGTGACGACCCTGTGGGTTCACTTCCCTCAGAAGGTTACCCTGAGGGCTGTCTGGGTAATTGGGAGGAAGGCAAGCCTTCAGGTCTTGGGTCCCCTAGAGAGGCCGAGCTGGGCCAGCCTGCCAGGAAGAAGCCAACTGCAGGGTGAGGAGAGAAGGTGGGGGAGTAAGATGGAGTATCCTTCTGAGAGAGTAAGGGTCTGAAAATGGGAATTCCCTACTGGAGATGGAATGCTGGAACACGCCCCCCCCCCCCATGCCTGCAGTGAGAATGAGGGATATTCCAGAAAGGGGGCCCCCATGGTTTAGGGGAAGACATGGAAGCAGGGAGATCAAACCCTGGCGGGGGGGGGGGGAACGGGTGTGAGGGGGTGTCTCTGAGACCAGGAGTGCCCCAGCGCCAACGGGGTCCAGAACACAGGTTTAATCTCTTAATCTGTCTCATTAATCACTCACCCTCCTCTTGCCCCACTCCTCAGATCCAATTTCGCCCCAGCTCAGGTTCCAGATGCTTCTCTGAGAAAAGCCCCCTTTCTGTGCTCCGCCCTCCATCCCCCAGCCTGAACTAGTCCCTGGTGGGCCTCTCTGCTCGGGCCATCCTCCTTTCCCTCTCCTCCCCCAAACTCTGGGGACCTTCCAGTGCCATTACCTGAGCTCCGCCTCCCTTCTGGCCCAGGGGAGAGGTAGGAAAAGGGGCCCCAGGAGCCTCCCGAACGCGTAATTGAGAGCAGAGGTAAAGGACTTAAAAGCCGTAGGAAGGAGACTGGTGAGCAGGTCTCAGTGTCTGCAGGGCAACGTGCCTGGGCTGTGGCTGGGCAGGTCCAGCTCCCTCCTGAGAGAGACTTTAATTGCAGATTAAGTGAAACCACCAGGATGGCTCTGAGGACAGAGGCCTGCAGCTGGGACGATCTTTCCTGGTTGTCCCTGCCCCCCACCATTAATAACCAATTAACAGGGTCCCAAGGCAGCTCAGTTTTCCACCACGGCCTGGCCCTGCTCTCTGACCCAGCCGTGGTCCATCAAGCTTCCAGTGTGTTGCCCAGGCCTCCATGAGGGCCCTGTGTGTGTACAGGTTGAAGTTGGAGGGTGGGGAGCTGTTCAGGTAACACTGTTGGGAGCCCTTTACCAAAAAAAAGACCACCCCTCAACTTACTATCAAGTTGCCATCCTGTCCTTGGTCCTTGTCAAGGAGTGTAAGTGTCTAGTCCAGGTACCATGGATCTTCGAAACCTTGTTCAGGGTGTCCCAATAGCAGGTTGCACTTATCCCAGATAATAGACAGGTGGGCCCAGATAAGCCCTATGCAACTGGTGGGAGACTGCCCGAGTCAACAGGAAGCTGCCACCGCACAGTCCAGGGGCTTTCTAGAGCTCTCGGCCTCGGCTTGCTGCACGGTGTTTTGGTGTGTCCGTGTTTCTGACGGCAGGCTGTGGAGCAGCCTGTTCTTCCAGGATGGCAGGACTTCTCCAGTTATAACTTAAGGTTGGATATAGAAACCAATCTCATGCCTGGGGCAAATCTTGGGCACAGCAGGTAAATCAGGCATTTGAGACACCACATCCCATATTTGAATGCTGGTTAATCCCAGCTACCCCATCACCAATCTGACTTCTTGCTTCTGCTGGATTCCAGGAGAGGAGGCCACAAGGGATGGCCCAAGTGCTTCAGGCCCCGCCTCTCACCCGAGGAATCTGGACTGAATTGCTGGCTCCATCCTGGCTTTGGCTTGGCCCAGCCCTGGGGAGTGTGAATTGGTGGAGAAAGGATCTGTCTCTCTGCCTTTAGAATAAAGTGAAAATAAATGAAAGTGAACAAAGCAGAACCTTGTGTCTCGCTGGCGCTGCCCTTGCTGAGACTTGTCTCTGAGCTGTCTTATTTATACCCAAGAGGGTTGTGTGATGCCTACCTGTAGGCCCAGGACCAGAGGCCAGAGAAGGCATGACAGTCAGGAGGACATGGCTAAAACATGAGCAGAGTTTGCATCTGGGTTGGCAGTGGTGTCTGTCCAATGGTTTGGCTGGGTCCATGAAGAGTGCCTTTAAAAAATATATATTTTTATTTTTATTGTAAAGTCAGATATATAAATAGAAAGAGAGATAGAGAGGAAGATCTTCCACTAATTCACTTCCCAAGTGACCGCAACGGCTGGTGCTGAGCCAATCCTAAGCCAGGAGCTCTTCCAGGTCTCCCACATGGGTGCAGGGTCCCAAGGCTTTGGACCGTCCTCCACTGCTTTCCCAGGCCACAAGCAGGGAGCTGGATGGGAAGCGGGGCTGCCGGGATTAGAACCGGTGCCCATATGGGATCCTGGCACATTCAAGGCAAGAACGTTAGCCGCTAGGCCACCGTGCTGCCATAAGACTGTCTTTTAAGTTACATTTTCTGGAAATCATTCCCCCTGGGCTACTTCTGAACCTCTAAAGCTTGGGGACACTCTGAAGGAGTGCGATAAAGAGACAAAGATTACATGAAGGACCAATAATGTGTGTGTTGGGGGGAGGGCGCTTCAGTGGCAAAGACACAGGCCCAGGGCTCCCTGGAGATTCTCTTGAGTCTTGACCTAATCTGGACATTTTAGGCAGGATGGGGTAGCCTGGAATCACCTGCTCTTGTTTCCCCCAAACCGGTCTCTCCCAAATCTCATCTACAGGTTGAAGCTGGGGGGAGCCTTCCTTGCTGTGTTAATCATTTCCAGCTCCCAATATCCCTTAATAAGGACCAAGGGTCCCAGTACAATCAACCCTGATTCTCCACCCTGGGAACTTTGCAAACTTCTGAACTGGGGGGCAGAAGAAACAATTTTATAGTCCTTGAGTTCAGATCCAGAGTAACGGCCAGGCAGGGGACTTTGAGGGGAACGAAGTCCGTTCCAGGGCTTGCATACCGCCCACCCCCCCAATCCCCCAACCGCCCCACCGCCGGTCCCAGCGCAGATCTGTGGGGTGGCCCGGGTTTTGTGGGGAGTTGTGCTGGCTTCGCTCTGCGCACGTTCTCACCCTGTAGAAGCACCGCTGCTGAGACATCACATCTTCCGCGCTCTGGATCCACCACAGCCCAGGATAGGGAGGTGGGGGGTGCAGGAGGAGGGGCGCCCCGGGCTCGGGCCCAGCGCCGGGGGCGGGTCCGAGGCAGGGGCCCGGGCTCGGGAGTCCTGCGCTTGGGACTCTTGCTGAGCCGAGCCGAGCGCAGGGGGCTGTTGATCTCCACCAAGCAACTGGCCGGCCATGAACTCCGGACCCCAGCCCCGGACACCCTTCAGCATCGCAGACATCCTAGGTCCACGTCTGGTGCCCCGGGCACCCTCCGCGATGCAGCTTCCAGAGTCGGATACGAGTCCCACGTCGCCGCTATGCGCGCTGGAGGAGCTGACAAGTAAAACTTTTCGTGGACTTGCCGCGCGCGCCCCGCAGCCCTTTGAAGGTATATAGCACCGGCCAGGGCACCGACTCTAACTTGGCCATCTCCCCGACTTCTCTCCTAGTCTTGATCCAATCTGCATCTCACCCCGCTCCGGTCACCCTAAATCGCGCCCGACCCCGGCCGCGTGCCAGGGACTCGCACCTCCCCTCCTCACCTCTCCTTCGTCAGTTCTTTGGCCTCGACCGCTCCGGAGAGCAGGCAGCCTCTCCGGGATGGGCTGGCCTGTCAAGAATTCCCGCACTCTAGGGTCGGTTCGCTGTAGGCGGGGCAGTCGTGACAACGAAAGGCCGGAGAGGAGACAAAAGGCTGGAGCCACAGGCAGTGACCGAGTGAGCAGGGGCAGGCGCGGTGCGGAAAGCTCCGGGAGGCCAGGTTCGGTCTCTCGCAGCCGCCATAGGGAGGGCACTCTATCTCCCGGCGGACGCAGCCGACGGTCCTTGGCGCGGCTCTGCACACTCCCGTTTTCCTCACCCTCGGTACCTCCCACGTCTCTCACGAAAAGGGCTCTGGCATCACTAACGAAGTGTCAACCTAGCGTGCGGCTCGTCCCAGGAGTCTCAGAAAAGGGCACGATCCTGGCCCTGTCACTTTCACCCCGCCGGGTTGCCACCCATCTTTGGTACCAATCCCAGCCAGCAATCCGGCCCAGCCTAGGTCTCAGAAAGGCCTCAAAGGCCCCGCCCCAGGAGGAAAGACTGGGGCTCGGGTCCCAGTTGGCTTGCCCTTCTTCCTAGCTCCATCTGCAGTCCCGCAGCCCAGCGGCCGGCTGGCTCATTTTGTGCTCGCTGCCTTCACCTCGGCCTGAGGACTCCGAGGACGCTCAAGGGCTTCGGGAAGGGATCCATGTTCCGGTCCTTCTCGGCTTTCTGTTTCCCTCCTTCCCTCCCCAACCCACCCCCCGCGCCGACCCACCTCCAGCTATTCCTTCCGCAGGTCACAACCGGATTCCAGCAACCCCAAGACCAACTGATTCCCGTCCCCCCTACATCCCTACAGGCAGGGCAGCCCCGGATGCACTGGGACCTCGGCCCGATGGCCGAAAACGGCGCAAGTCACGCACGGCGTTTACCACGCAGCAGGTACTGGAGCTGGAGCGGCGCTTTGTCTTCCAGAAGTACTTGGCTCCGTCCGAACGCGACGGTCTGGCGGCGCGACTCGGCCTGGCCAACGCACAGGTGGTCACTTGGTTCCAGAACCGGCGCGCCAAACTCAAGCGCGACGTTGAAGAGATGCGCGCCGACGTGGCCTCCCTCCACGCACTGTCGCCCGCAGTCCAGTGCCGCCTAGCGCTGCCCGATGGCGCGCTTGGCCCCGGCCCCGCTGGGCCCGACTCGGGGCCCCACCTGTCGGAGGAAGAGATCCAGGTGGATGATTAAAGGCAAAGCCTACCCTGGACTCTGGGGTTCTGGACTCCTCCCCTTTGCGCTCCGTGCTGGGTCTGGTACTGGGACAGCGGGAGGAGGTCCACCCGGGTGTCTTCAGCTCAGCCCAGCCCAGCCGCCCACCCTTCCCAGCTGTGGAGAATAAGGTGTCGCACAACGCCTTAACCTGGAAGTGGGGAAACCACTAACAGTAAAATCTGCTGGTTACTGCAGAGATCTAGTGCTTGACACTGTGTTGAGGCCTTGGAGGTAAAATAATGGTGATTTTTACAAAGGAAGAGCCCGCTCATCAGGATGTGGGCCAGTATTCCCAGCCAGTCTCCCCAGGCCTTCCCTAACCATCCTTCTAGGTGAAAGGAATGGGGTGGGACTCCGTATGCCGCCCACCCCTATGGTCACAGGACTGCCCCAGATGCTGCCACTGGCTGGGAGATCTCACATCCCATGTCTAGGGCTGCCCTAGGGTAAGGACTTTATGCACAGCTCTACTCTTTCCTCCCTTTGTTTGTTCATGGGATCCTGCCCTGACCTTTCTGACTCTGGAGAAGGAACCTTATTCTGGGACGCAGGCAGAGAGAAGGGCACACCTCACTTCTTAGAACCCAGTCGAGCTCCTGCACTGGGAATGTTACCACCAAAGACAGTGGCTGCCATGGCCGGCCTGGAGCAGCTGGGCTTGCCTACTGGTTCCACTGAAGCTGGTGTGATGATGGAGGGAAGGGGAGCAAAGCACAGCTCCAGCCTTCCCCACCTCCAGTGTCACAGCCAATCCTGGGCTCCCTCCTGCTTCCCCTCCCTCCTGCCATTCTGACCTGCCCACCTCCAACTTGCCTCTCCTCTCTGCCTAGGTGTTTCAACCCCAGAGGCTGTCAAGGGCAGAAGGCAGGTCACCAGGAGTTTCCCCTGCAGGAGGGGATAGTCCAGGGAGGACCAACATGGCTGGAAGGCAGACGGGAGTCTGACATTTCTCCACTGATAACTACTGCTTACTGAGCAGTTCCTAGTGTTTCCTACGGATTCAGTCCCAACCCAGTAGGACCGAATTTTTCATCCACATTTGTTTATTTTCCTTTTATCCAAATTTTAAAAAGATTTATTTTTTTCTCTTTTTAAAAAGATGTATTTATTTTTATTGCAAAGGCAGATATACAGAAAGAAAGAAAAATAGAAAAATCTTTCATCCATTGTTTTACTCCTCAAGTGGCCACAACAACAGGAGCTGAGCCAATCCAAAGCCCAGAGCCAGGAGCTTCTTCCTGGTCTCCCATGCAAGTGCAAGGTCCCAAGGCTTTGGGCCGTCCTCCACTGCTTTCCTAGGCCGCAAGCAGGAAGCTGGATGGGAAGTAGAGCAACCAGGATGCGAACCAGTGCCCATACAGGATCCCAGCACATGCAAGCCAAGGCCTTTAGCTGCTAGGCTGTACCATGCCCTCATCCACATTTTTTGAAACATTGCCTAAAACAGTGTCTGGCACATAGTTGTTGTATACAAAGAGATTGGTGGCTGTTCCTCAGAGACAGAGCCCAGAACTGTAGGTGAAGAGCCATGTGTGACACAATGGGTGGGTGATGAGAGTGACCTGAACCGGGCGGTGAAATGCTCTATGAAATGGTGTTGGGGAAAGAGATGAGTCTGAGGTGGAGGCTTGGTTAGTGAGCAGGCATTACAGCTGCTCAGGCCAGAGGCAAGGCATTTGAACTAAGGCAGTGACCGCAGGAGTAGGGGCAGAAATGAGAGGTTTATTTCAAAAGGCATTTCAGAAGATTGCAGGGACCAAACATGAGGTCGAGAAAAGGGAAGGTTTTAACATGATTTCCCAGGTTTCTGGATAAAGCAATTGGAACATGGAAGTCTGTGTTATTAACTGAAATTGGGACTTAGAAGAAAAGCAATCCGCTCGTGAAGGTGATGGATTAAGATATGAATAATGTTAAGTTGGCAAATTCAAGGAATGACCAGGAAGCAAGCAGTACAGCTTCTCAGGGCTGTCGGGTGAGATCCTGGCCTTTCAAACCACTCACTGCCGTCTTTCCTGCCCCATCTTTTATTCTTCCCTCTGGCTCTGGTCTCACTTTACTGAAGTTCTCTGAACTTTTCAAAGATTTCTTTACTTTTATTGGAAAGTCGGATTTACAGAGAGAAGCAGAGACAGAAAGAAAGAGCTTCCGTCTGCTGATTGACTCCTCAAGGGACCACAACAGCCAGGGCTGAGCTGAACCGAAGCCAGGAGCCAGGATCTTCTCCAGAGTATTCCAGGCAGGTGCAGGGTCCTAAGCCCTTGGGCCGTCCTGCACTGCCTTCCCAAGGACACAAGCAGGGAGCTGGATGGGACATGGAGCAGCTGGAACTTGAACCGGTGCCTACAATAGATCCTGGCACATGCAAAGCAAGGACTTTAGCCACTAGGCTGCCGCCGCACTGAGCCCTGAACTTTTCTTTTCTTTTTGGGGGGAGGAGCCTCTGTTGCCTTTTTGTTGTTGTTGTTGTTAAGAGTTATTATTTATTTTTATTGCAAAGTCAGATATACAGAGTGGAGGAGAGACAGAAAGGAAGATCTTTCATCTGATGATTCAGTCCCTAAGTGACCGCAACAGCCAGTGCTGCGCCCATCCCAATCCAGGAGCCAGGAGCTCTTCCGGGTCTCCCATGAAGGTGCAGGGTCCCAAGGCTTTGGGCCGTCCTCGAATGCCTTCCCACGCCACAAGCAGGGAGCTGGATGGGGGAAGTGGAGCTGCAGCGATTAGAACCGGTGCCCATATGGAATCCCGGCGCGTTCAAGGTGAGGACTTTAGCTGCTAGGCCACTACGCCGGGCCCGAACTTTTCTTTGATTGTCTTTGTTGGCGATGTGTCCTCTATAACATCTTTTCCCCGAACCATCCACTTATGAGCATTTATCACTGCAGGATTTGCTTCCTGTCCTGCGCTTCCTCAAGGGCTGAGCCCACCCCCGGACCCCTCGGGTCATCGGCCGGTCGCAGGGTTCAGCAGAGCCGAGAGCGAGCGGGACCGCCGAGAGCGGAGCGGTCGGGAGCTGCGATCCTAACTCTCCCTTCCCGGTGAGTCCGCCGGGCGGAATTCGCTGCAGTTTGAGAGCAGCAGCGACCCCCGTGGGCAGCGGGGTCGCAGAGGGCAGCCAATACGAAAGGAAAGGCGGTGCCCGTCTGGGGACTCGGGGCTGACCGGCCGGAGTCCTCTATCCCCTCCACCTGAGGCAGGAAAACCTACTAAAAACACAAGGGAGGCTGCCTTTGCCCGCCGGGACCCTCCACCCTCTCGTCACAGCCCCCCACAAGCTAACCCGCCCTTAGTCTTCGCAGTCGGCGCCCGCTCCCACCTACAGTAACCCGAGAGTACGCGCCAAAGGGTGGGGTAGGACGGGGTGGTGGCCATCTTTGTTAGGGGCAGAAGCCTCTGGTTACGGAGCCCGAGACAGTCCTTAACGATCCTCAGGGCTCGCGGACGGGAGATGTCGCCTCTTGGGATGGGGCGGAGTCCCGGCTACGGCGGGCGTTGGGCCGACCGGGGAAGCGGGAATCGCTAGGTTCATTCCAGACTCGCCACCCCATGGCCCTGGCATCTCGTTCCGGTGGTCCCCTGCCTCCGCTCGCTACCGCGGCCCCACTGTGGGCACGGCCTGGGGATGCTGGGGAGGAGCCGTGGGAGGGAAGGCAAGCGGCGGTTCTCCGAGGAGAGGTTCGTGGCTACGCTCGGCTGCCAGTTGCCCGGAACATCCCCGGCCTGGACCTGCGGCCCGGGGCAGCGCCAGCGGCCGCGAGCGAGCATCGCGAGGCCGGCTCTGCGGACTGGAGGCGGGAGCTGGCGGCTGGCGGCCCGATCCCTCCCACGCTGCAGCGTCTGCGGACCGTGCTATTGCGGCTGCACCGCGAGCGGGAGCAGCTCCTGCAGGCCCGGGACTGCGCCCGCCACCTCCAGGCATCCGTGCGCCTCCTCAGGACCCTGAGCACCGGCGCGCCATCCCTCGGCTCGGGCCCCGTATCTCAGCTGTGCCGCGACCTGCGGCTGCATGCTCCCGGAGGGGCGCGCCGACGAATCGGCCTCCGGGACACCCTCGAGCCTGTCCTCCTAGCGCGCGCCATCGGACTAGCGGCCCAGCGTCTGGATGCCGCCATCGAGATACAGCTTGTCGCCGTGGGGCGGGCGCCCGCCAGCCCGTCTCTGTCTTCCCGGCTCGCCGACCTGCTGCAGTCGCTCCCCACCTACCACGGACTGCAGGGGAAAGCCCTGAGCCACGTCCCTGGGGCCGCGCGCCCTTTCCCCACAGCCCGTGTGCTTCGTCTCCTGACGGAGGAGCGAGGTTGCCAGATGGCAAGGAGGCTGGAAGGGGCGCTTTTGAGATCCGGTTTAAAAGACCAGCTCCGTAGGCAGTGCCAGGAAGAGCGGGAGCTCCTGCCAGGGCTGCTGGGCTTGGTGGGGGGCGTGGCAGGTGCAGCCGGCAGTGCACTGGGCCTAGGAGGGGCTGGCACTCTGTGGAGCCAATATTGGACCCTGCTGTGGGCAGCCTGTGCTCAGAGTCTGGACCTCAACCTGGGACCCTGGAGAGACCTAAAGGTGGTAGCAAAACAGCTGGACCAGGTACTGGGTCAGGGTGAGTACTGGGACTTGATGGGTGTTGGGGAAGGCCCTTGAGAAAGAAGAGGGTTCGGGTTCTCCCATCTGGAATTTCAAGGCAAGGTCTTGAGTCTGAAAGGAAGCCTCCTTCCAGCCCTGCCCCATCACTGGCTGGGCGGGGGTAGTGGGACAGGAGCCATAGTTTTCAGCCTCCAGGGTCGTTTCTTCCATCAGCATCCTTGCCTCAGGAGTGTGAGAAGGAGCTGGCTTCTTGGTGTCACAGCCTACGCCGTCAGTCTCTCATCGGGAGCTGGGACCAAGGTGAGAAGGGGTGCGGAAGGTGACCCCAAGCCCTGGGTCAGTCCTCCTCCTCAGACTCTCCCTTCCCATTCTCAGGATTCTGCCAGGCCTTGGGGTCAGCTCTTGGGGATCCAAGCAGCCTTCCAGGGGCTTCTCACACCGCACAGTTGCTGCAGCAGCTCTTCCCTCCTCTCCTGCATGCCCTCCAACAGCCAGAATCAGGGCCACTCTGCGGTCAGCTGCCTGGTGAGTGAGGGACTGGGCATACCTCTGGGTTTCTGCTCTATTCTCAAATGTGCCTCTGCCTGGAAGGCGCCTGTGATACCTAACGCGTGCGCCCTGCTGCTCCCCTGCCCAGGTCCTGCCCCCGTCGCCCTAGCCCTCTGTACTCTGCAGACTACCTTGCTCTGGCTCCTGGGCCGAGCTCAGCGGCACCTGGCAGCATGGGCCCCAGGCGCCTTCCTGCTTCTCATCCAAAAGGACTTGCCTGTGAGTGTGAGGGGGAGTGGGTGGGAGAGCAGTCTGGGCTGGTCTGGGCTGGTCTGAGCTGGTCTGAGCCTTCACACACCCTGCTTTTGCACCCAAAGCCCCTGTTACGTGAGGTGGAAGCTCTGTCTAGGCTGACCTCGGAGGGAACTTCAGGGCTGGAGGCAGAGCAGCAGCTGAACCTGGAGATGCACAGGTTGGCCACACGGATACAGGTGAGGCCCAGGGCCCTGAGGGGACGGGGTGAGATCCTGCCCTGCGCTAGCTCAGGCAGCAGGGGCACAGCACAGGACCTTAGCCATATGGAAGCCCCTGGACTCTGCTACATTGATCTTTCTTGCATTAATTTTCTCTCTCCCTCCTTTAGGACTTGTTCATTTATTTGAGGGGCAATGGGGGGGGGGGCGGAGAGAGAGAGAGAGAAAGAAAGAAACTCTTCCATATGGTGGTTCACTCTCCAAATAGCTACAGGAGCCTGGGCTGACCCAAACTGGAGCCAGGGGTCAGGGGCTTCATCCAAGTCTCCCCACAAGTCTCCTTAGGTCATCTTCCACTGCTTTCCCCAAGCCATTAGCAGGAAGGTGGATCAGAAGTGCAGCAGCTATTATTTGAACTGGCATCCATTGGAACACCAGCACTGCAGATAGCAGCTTCACTTGCTATGCCACAGCACCGGTCCCTTCTTCATGTATCAGATTATTCCCATAAAGAGAAACCTGTGCTCATTCAGCAGGTACAATTTATAGAGAAAAAGCAAGATAAATGAACTCTTCTTTTACTCACAAGTTTTTCATATCATGTTTCTTTTTTCTTGAAAAATATAGGTTGCATTTCGTTAAATAAATGCCCAGAGTTTAGAAAGTTGACATAGAACAGAGCTGCCTAAGGTTTCTCAGGAGGAAGGGCATTCGTTTATTCCAACCTGCACATCTGGTTGTGGCATCTCAGCAGTAGCCTCTATCTACACTTGGTGGTTTGTTCCAAGATTTTTCTTCTATATTTATGAATAAAACCCTTATACTTCTATCTATGTAAACATTCCCCCATTTTTGCACATCATCTATTCCTCTTGTGGAAAAATGTCTTTTGTTTGTTGTTTTTTCTTGTCCAGTTCCCTCTTTGCCCTGCCTGGGGCCTGGCTGCTGAGCTCGGGCCTTGCTCTCCTGCTCCTTTGCAGTGTTTCTCTTTCCCCACAGTGGAGAGTGGGGCTGTGAACTCCGACCCATTGGCTCTTCTGGCTCCCTGAATGCCAGCACCTCTGTTTGTCAGCTGGGCATTTCTACCTCATTTTACTACTGTCTCTGATCTCACCACACCCCAGGGCAAGCTCACCCTACACAGGGCAGTGAGGCAAGGGAGACCTGATGAATGCCATCCAGGGCCTGTGGCAGGAGCTGGTGGATGGGCAGCCTCTGAGAAGTGGCAGAGGTTATTGGAGGTAGACAACTCATAGACATGCGGGGGAGTGGTAGTGAGATGCGTTGGCCAGGGCAGAGGCTGTGTGGTGTGAGGAGATGCAGGAATAGAGGAAAAAGCAAGTTGGCATCAGATTATGGCAAGCAGTAAGCACCAGTGTCTCATAAGCGACGGGCAGCCATGGCAAGGGCAGATGGGGAAGAAGTGACAGAGGGGGTCCAGCTATAGGAGCAGCATGCTAGAGATGTGGGGAGACATGGGATGTGAAGGATTCAGTTCTTTGTAGTTGTGTTGAGGATAGAAGATGAGGAACAGGGACTGTGTGGCCACCGTGGGAACCAAGCACTGCGAAGCACTCTCCGAGCCTTGCCCTGGTGAGCGTGTGGTTGGGTGTCTGCTCTGGGTGCTCCGGCACACACAGCTGGGAGTGACAGAGATCAGGCATCTGAGTTTCTCTGTAGCTGGATCTGCAAGGTCAGAGGTAGAGAGGGCAGGGCTGTGTGTCAGGCTTGTACTGTGCACCTTGTTGAGTGTACAGTTTCTCAATGTCCGTTCACATAAGGGTGATTTCCTTGGAGGAGAGACAGAAAGATCTTCCCTCTGCTGGCTCACTCCCCCAAATGGTCAAAACAGCCACAGCTGAGCCCAACTAAAGCTAGAAGCCCGGAGCTTCTTCCGGGTCTCCCACATGGATGCAGGGTCCCAAGGCTTTGGACCGTCCTCCACTGTTTTCCCAGGCCATAAGCAGGGAGCTGGATGGGAAGTGGAGCAGCTGAAACATGAACCGGCCATATGGGATCCTGGCACTTGCATAGTAAGGATTTAGCCATTGAGGCACCATGCTAGGCCCTAGAGAGGTTGTTTTCTTACGCACCAGGAGCCACATGGGTCCCAGCTCCAGGCCTGCTTTCCCTTCGGGCTTACTGGCATCACCTGCCGCCATGTGCTCCACTTCCTGGGGCTCCTTTCCTCTAAGATGGGCTGCAGAGCAGAGACCTTCTTAACTGCATCTTGTCTTCCTACAAAAGCAAAACCGACCAAGCACGCCGAAGAAACAACAGAAAGTAGCACTTGGCCTTGTGTTGTGTTACGGGTTAGGTTGCTCTTGAGAGGTGGACGTGAGCTGGGAAGAATACTCAGTCAGGACCTTGGAAGGTTGCTGCAGCTCAGAACTTTACCTACCTGCTGTCCACACATAGTTCTCACCTTGCTTTCGGAGCGAGGACCCTCAAGGGCGTCATCATCTCTCTCTTCCCCCACTCTGCTTAAGGTCCCTATAGAGTGAAAGTAACCTGGAGGATTTTTTCCATTCTCTGCACCAAGCTGAGGGGAGCAGGGCAATTGTTTATAATCTAGATCCAGAATTTTTGGTAAACCCAGCACCAGCTGTGGTGGCGTTTCTCCGTGGAAAGTGTTCATGTTCCCACGATCGTGCATACCCCTCTGGGGCTTTACAGGCGCAAGGGGAACAGCAGTGTAATTTGACAGGCACTGTTCATTTTCTCCCTGCTCCCATAGCTCCTGCCTGAAGAGTCCCTGGGTCTCTTCTCTGAAGCGTGTCATAAACAAGCCACAAAGGGCTTCAAACTCCACATGCCACGGGGTCGGTACTGGCGGCCTCGACTCTCTTCTGGTAATTCCTTAACCCGGTTTTTCTATTTTGAGGGTTCTCAGGGTTACATTGGAGTTGCCCCACCTCTCCCGATCCTGGCCCCACACTGCTGTTTCCATCTCCATCCCAACCTTCTGGGGCTCTGAGCCCCCTGAAATTGTACTGTTTTAGTCCCGACACCTCATTTAGGAACTCAGGAAACCCCCACATCTTGTCTGTTCTTTTCCCCCACTCCAGAACTTCCCAGCGTTCCTAGTGAGTATGCTGGATTGGTGGTCCGCACGGTCCTGGAGCCTGTGTTGCAAGGACTGCGGGGGCTGTCCCCACAAGCCCAGGCCCCTGCCCTCGGGCCAGCACTTACAGCCACCCTGCGTGCCTGGCTCGACCATATCCTCACCTGTGGGATCCGGTTCAGGTGGGGAGCAAAGGCAGTAGAGATGGTGTGTGTGTGTGTGTGTGTGTGTGTGTAAGGTGTGGGGTAAGTGGTGGGTCCAAGCAGTGGGAAGTTCCCTTATTCACGTTGGACCTTCCCCTTCAGCCTGCAGGGGGCGCTGCAGCTCAGGCAGGACTTTGGAGTGGTCAGGGAGTTGCTGGAAGAGGAGCAGTGGGGCCTGTCCCCAGATGTTCGCCAAAGCCTGTTCATGCTCAGCATCTTCCAGCAGCTGGATGGGGCCATCCTGTGTTTACTGCAGCAGCCCCTGCCCAAGACCCGAGTGGGCAGGAGGCGCCCTTGTTGCTGTGAGTGCCTGCCTGTCCTCCCTCGCTGCCCATGTGCACCCTCTCCCCTTGCCAGTCTCCACCAGCCTGGCTTTAGCATCTCACCATTAGCCTTCCTCCCATGCCTTGCAGGTACCTGTACCGACGTCCAGACCACAGAACTGCCCAGCAGCTGCCTCAACAGCCTGGACAGCTTGGAGCCCTCTCTGCGGCCTGGCACACTCTCAGCCCAGACAGCTCAGCTGCTAAGCAGCCTGCGTGGAGGAGGCCCCAGCCCCGAGGCCTACCTGGTGGGCAATCAGCAGGCCTGGCTGGCCCTGCGACAACATCAGGACTCTCGGTGGCACCTGACTTTCCTTGCCTGCCTGGGTATCAACCCTGAATCCTAAGGAGAGGTGTCAGGAAGCCAGCTCTGGTTGGGAAAGCCCCAACATGTGGAACTGCACATTAAAGCAGCCTAAAATCGACAGCCTGGAAGAAAGCTTTCTTGAGAACCCCGAGCTACTAAGTTAAGGATCCAAGATCATGCCAGCACCTGCAATCCACAGAGAAGGGCAAGGCCACGGCCACGGCCTAGGACCGGGAGTCCGGCATCTCTGTGGGGGTCAGGCCTGGTCCCCAGTCAGTGAACACCCGTCAGGAAAGGGGGAAGGCAACAGGGCGCAGAAGGGCGAGATGCCACTCCCCCACTTATGTCCTAGGAGCCAGGCTCCAACCGGTGCATCAGAGAAGCACGATGAGCAAGGATCAGTCCCACGGGAATGTTAGCCAGATGCCCTTCCCCATTATTTTCTGTCGTTTAAAAAATCCTTGGCTGTGAGACCTTGACTTAGAACCGGCACCGTAGGGCACGCCGAAGCAAAGCCCACAGGGGTTTCTGCACCATCGAGCCCAGCGCTGCTGCGGGTGGCCGGGGATCTACTACTGGCGGAAGCCCGGCCAGTCACAGCTTCCCGCGCAGAAGGGCGCTTCCGCTCGCGTCAGCGTTTCCGGGGCGGAGTTCATCATGGCGGCGGCCTTGGCTCGGCTCGGGCTGCGGGGCGTGAAGCAGGTTCGGGTTCAGTTCTGTCCGTTCGAGAAGAACGTGGAGTCGACGAGGTACGGGGGAGAAGAGAGGGGGACGGTAAGGGGATCACCTTGTCCGCGCGCGGCGCTCACCCCCTTCCTCCCCACCGCAGGACGTTCCTCCAGGCGGTGAGCAGCGAAAAGGTGCGCTCCACCAATCTCAACTGCTCGGTGGTTGCGGACGTGAGGCACGACGGCTCGGAGCCCTGCGTGGACGTGCTGTTTGGTGGGCTCCGCGGAGGGGACGCGGGCGGGAGAGGGCGGCGGGTGCACGGCCATGGAGAGGGAGAGGGAAGGCGGCGGGTGCACCGCCAGGGGAGAAGGAGAGAGAGGACGGTGGGGTGCACAACCGGGGGAGAGGGAGAGAGAGAACAGAGAACGGCGGGGTGCACGGCCAGGGGAGAGGGTGGTGGGGTGGGGTGCACCGCCAGGGGAGAGGAGAGAGAGGACAGCGGGGTGCACGGCCAGGGGAGAGGACGGCGGGGTGCACGGCCAGGGGAGAGGAGAGAGAGGACAGCGGGGTGCACGGCCAGGGGAGAGGACGGCGGGGTGCACGGCCAGGGGAGAGGGTGGTGGGGTGCACCGCCAGGGGAGAGGGAGGGAGAGGACGGCGGGGTGCACGGCCAGGGGAAGAGGGTGGTGGGGTGCACCGCCAGGGGAGAGGGAGAGAGAGGACAGCGTGGTGCGTGGCCTGGAGGACGCTGGCTGCCGGCCACCCTCGGGGCCCAGCCTCCATCTGGACTCAGCCCCGTGCTTGACTCTTCTGTTGTCTTCCTCAGGGGACGGGCATCGCCTGATCATGCGTGGTGCCCACCTCACCGCCGTGGAGATGCTCACCGCCTTCGCCTCCCACGTCCAGGCCCGGGGAGCAGCGGAGGGCGGGGACAAACCTGGGGCTGGTGGTGGGCGCTGACCTTGCAGAGGAGATCCCACAACAACGGATTTTAGCCTGATACTGGGCTAAGGGACTTGGATGAATTATTCCAATCCTTCCCGATGTGGAGCACCAGAAAGACCCATTGCAACAATGTTCTCTGAATGAGATGGCATCGTGGAGGGATCTGATGGAACTTGTAATTTATTTCGTTTTTTTTTTAAGCCCTTTGGAATGTGCTATCAACGCGCACACATTCGGCATACCAGCTACTCCAGTCACAAAGCTGGTGCTGAGTTCTTTGAATTTCTGTGTCAGCGCCTTCTGAGCTCTTAGCTTACTGTGGATGGGGCCTCTCTGCCTTCGGACTTATTCTCATGCTCATAAAGGTGTGTTGGCCTCATTATTTTGCTTCTCTCTTTATTCTTCTTTAGGACATCTCATCCACTGTCATAATTTTTAAAAATATTTATTTTCATTGGGAAGGCAAATTTACAGAGAAGACACAGCTCTTCTATCCCAGTGGCTGCAATGGCTGGAGCCAAGCTGCTCCAGAGCCAGGAGCTTCTTCTGGGACTCCCACACAGAATCAGGATCCCAAAGCTTTGGGACATCCGCCATTTGTTTCCCAGGTCAGAAGCATGAAGCTGGATGGGAAGTGGAGCATCTGGAACATGAACCTGTGGTCATGTGGGATCCTGGTGCCTGAAGGGGGAGAATCAGCCAGTTGAGCCATTGTGCTGGACCCCACTATCATAATTTGAGCTACTCTAGTTAAACCCTCCACTTCTGTAAGGTTCTTTTTTTGTTTAAAGATTTATTTATTTTTATTACAAAGTCAGATATACAGAGAGGAGGAGAGACAGAGAAGATCTTCCGTTTGATGTTCACTCCCCAAGTGACCGCAACGGCCGGTGCTGAGCCATTCTGAAACCAGGAGCCAGGAACTTCCTCCAGGTCTCCCGCACAGGTGCAGGGTCCCAAGGCTTTGGGTCATCCTCTACTGCTTTCCCAGGCCACAAGCAGGGAGCTGCAGAGCAGCCAGGTCAGGGAACCAGTGCCCATATGGGATCCCAGTGCATGCAAGAAGAGGACTTTAGCTAGGTTTTAGCTAGGACTTTAGCTAGGCTACCGCACAGGGTCCTCCCCTTTTGTTTTGAAGAATTATCTGAAAGGTAACTTGGAGAAGGAGAGGGAGAAATGGAAAGGGAAGTCTTGCAGCTGCTGATTCACTTCCCACATGACTGCAGTGGCCAACCCTGACCAGGTCTGGCCTGGATAGGATCTACCTCTGGGTCTCCCATGGCCGTTTTCCAGTGTTTCCCAGACACTTTAGTAGGGTGCTGGATTGGAAGTAGAGCAGCAAGGACTCAATGCCTACATTGCAGGCAGCTTAACCTACACCATTATGCCACCCCCATCCCACTTGCTTTTCAAGGCACTTCATCTACTGGGTCACCTTGGTGGAAACCATAGGTTTCTGTGGTTTTGCCTTCTCCCTTTGCGTATCTGAGTCAGTCCAGAATTTTTTAAGCCACCATGCCATGGACGTGGCTCCATGTCAGCACTCCTTAAGAGCACTGGTTCCAGTTCTGGCTGTTCCACTTCCGATCAGGTTCCCTGCTGATGTACCTGGGAAAGCGGATAAGCATGGCCCAAGGACCTGGGCCCCTGTATCCACACAGCAGACCCAGAAGAAGCTCCTGGCTTTGGCCGTGATCCTTGCCATCATTTGGGGAGTGAAACAGCAGATGGAAGACCTCTGTCTCTTACTTTCAAATAAAGTAAATCTTAAGAGTTTCTGAAGTGATCTCTGTTCTTCCATTTTGTGTCATTGCATTTTTCCATCTCATCTCCTTTTTTGACTATTTTTTCTGGTGCTTAATTTTCTCTTGCCAGAGCACTTGATTGGTTTTATCTCCTAGTACTGCCTGCTTCAATAAAACAATGCCTGAAGTAATTTTTTTTAAAGATTTATTTTTATTATTTTTTATTGGAAAGGCAGATATACAGAGAGGAGAGACAGAGAGGAAGATCTTCCATCCGATGATTCACTCCCCAAGTGAGTGCAACGGCCGATACTATGCCGATCCAGAGCCAGGAGCCTCTTCCGGGTCTCCCACGTGGGTGCAGGGTCCCAAAGCTTTGGGCCGTCCTCTGCTGCTTCCCAGGCCACAGGCAGGGAGCTGGAAGGGAAGTGAGGCTGCCGGGATTAGAACCGGCGCCCATATGGGATCCTGGGCGTGCAAAGCGAGGACCTTTAACCGCTTGCGCCACCGTGCCGGGCCCCTGAAGTATTTTTCATGCAGGGTCAACACCTATTAGTATAGATCATAGATCCAAGTGGGGGAAATCAGCCTTTAAAAGAAATGTAGAGGGCCTGGTGCAATAGCCTACTGGCTAAAGTCCTTGCCTTCCACATGCTGGGATCCCATGTGGGAGCCAGTTCGTGTCCCAGCTGCACCACTTCCCATCTAACTTCCTGCTTATAGCCTGGGAGAGTAGTAGAGGACTGCCCAAAGCCTTGGGACCCTGCACCCATGTGGGAGACCCAGAAGAAGCTCCTGGCTCCTGGTTTCAGATCAGCTCAGCTCTGGCTGTTGAGGTCACTTGGGTGGTGAATCATCGAACGGAAGATCTTCCTCTCTGTATATCTGACTTTACAATAAAAATAAATCTTTTTAAAAGTAGGATAGCATAAAATCAGAGTGCATGGCACATGGAATGGAAAATATTTAGCAAGTCACTAAATCAGAAATAGAGCATCCTGACTGCAGCCGGCCCCCGTGTGGGATACTTGTAGAGTAGGTGACCACGTTACTTGGTAAGCAGCCATGCTGTCCAAAGGCCTTATTACACTGTTAAAACAACACAACCTTGAGGTCCCTGGCTACTTAATTGTTAACTTGGGTGTCTGCTGCTCCTAGTTCTCAGGTAAAAAGGGAGACGGTTCATCATGGCTTGACAGCTGGCACTGTGCTTGGGGATTGTGAAGCTGTTTATCCCCAACACCTTACACAGTGTGATGCAGATGATGTGGTCAACACCTGGTTACATCTGCAGCATCTACCTGGTACCTACAACAGTGACTAGTACTAGACTGGTGGCACCACTGGTCAGAGGCTTAGTCTGTTATACCACAGCTGCAGCGTCATTCCATGTTTCCTTGCTTCCTGGGAGGTAAGAAGAAAGCTGTCTGCTATTAGCGTGTGGGCCACGCTTGTTGTCCTTTTATGGTTCGTTCAGATAAGGAATTGCAGGCTAAGTGGAGACAGACTTAGGTCTAAGGGGCCACTGTTGTGGTGCAGTGGGTTAAGTGACATGGGTAGGAGAGAACTGGCTGCTCCAGTTACAATCCTGGTCCCTGCTAATGGCCTGGGAAAGCAGTACAGGATGGCCCGACTGCTTGGGCCTAGAGACCAGGAAGAAGCTCCTGGCTCTTGCCTCCAGCCCAAGTCGTTGGAGGATTTGGGAGAGTGAACCAGCAGATGGGAGATCTCTGTAACCCTGCTTTCCAAAAAAAAAAAGACTTGTTTGAAGTCACAGGGTCGCTTGAAAACAGCTGAACTAGACGTCAGCCCTCCCTAGTGGGTCCACCAGGGAAGAAGGTGCTGGGTGTGTGCCACCCAGTGTGGAGCAGGTGCACAGCGTTGCGACCGGGCGGTCACTTCTCAGGTCATAGGTTTCCATCTCATTACAACAGCGTCTGAATGCAGAGTCGTTTAAAATAATAACAGCTCAGCACGAGGTAGGTTTTCTCTACCAGGCTGCGGATTCCGCGGGGACACCAGAAGAGCGCGAACCCCAACCAGGGACGGCCTGGCGAGGAACCCTTCGCCACCCCACGGCATCGGAGAGGCAAGCCCCGGCCTGACGTGGCGGGGCGGGGCTTCCGGCGGAAGGCGGACGTAGAGCCGGGCGCGCGGGCCGGCAGGTGCGGCTGCAGGGACTGTGGTCCCCGGGTTCGCGGCTCGGGCCGGCGGGGCAAGGCAAGGCCTGGGCTCCAGGGACGCCGGCCTCTGTGGTAGGATGGCTCGGGGCGAGCGGCGGCGCCGCGTCGCGCCGGCGGAGGGGAAGCGCCCCGCCGAGAGGGCGGCCCGGGGTGTCCCCGAGCGGCGGGGCGGCGGGGCCCCGGGCACCCCAGGGCGAGCGGCCCTGGCCATCGTGGTCCTGCTTTTGGCCCTGGGACTGTCGGGGCGCTGGATGCTGGCGTGGTACCGCATGCGACGGGCGGTCACGCTGCACTCCGCACCCCCAGCGCTGCCCCCTGACTCCTCCAGCCCCGCCGTAGCCCCGGACCTCTTCTGGGGCACCTACCGCCCACAGGTTTACTTCGGCATGAAGACTCGCAGTTCGCAACCGCTGCTTACCGGTAACCGGGTCCGGGGCGGATGGGGCAGCACGCGGCTGGACGCTACCTGGGGGCACCCCAACTTCATGCCAGAGCAAGATCGGGGCGGAAGGGATCAGGAGAGTTTAGGAAGAGGGATGAGACTCCCAGGGGCAGGCCCCTGTTCCTTGACTTATGTGGCCGTTCTACCCCTAGGACTGATGTGGGCGCAGCAGGGCGCCACCCCAGGGACCCCTAAGCTCAGGCACACCTGTGAGCAGGGGGACGGCGTGGGTCCCTATGGCTGGGAGTTCCACGACGGCCTCTCCTTCGGGCGGCAGCACATCCAGGATGGGGCTTTAAGGCTCACCACTGAGTTCGTCAAGAGGCCCGGGGGTCAGCACGGAGGGGACTGGAGCTGGAGAGTGACTGTAGAGCCTCAGGTCAGGGTCTCAGGACCCCCTTTCCGCGGTCCTGACCCCTATCATTCCCCTGTTCCTACCAGCAGACTCAATGCCGAGTGGGGTGGACAGCAGGAGCTCTGTGCCTGGCTGCCTGGCTCATCCCTTTAGGCACGTGTCTGTGTAACCATCTCTAAGCCTTGGCACTCTTGATTGTAAAGTGGACATCCTAATAGCACCTGACTGAGGGGTTTGTAACAATGAAATGAAATGATATGAACACAGAGTTCTTAGGGCATAGTGGGAAAGTACTCTTATCATTCCACAGAGCCCCGTGCCAGGGTTATTTATCTCATGCTGCCCAGTGAACTGTTCACCTTCAGTACTGCCAGATGGCCAGCATGGATATTGCCCTCGCCCGCTGTCCCGCCCCTCACTCAAGCTGATGCTTGAGAAGGAATACAGCCTAACGCTGGGATTTCGTTTCTGTCCAGGCTTCAGGCACCTCTGCCCTCCCTTTGGTCTCCCTGTTCTTCTATGTGGTGACAGATGGCAAGGAAGTCCTTGTCCCAGAGGTCGGGGCCAAGGGCATGTTGAAGTTCATCAGTGGGCACACCAGTGAACTTGGTGACTTTCGGGTTACACTTCTGCCACCAACCAGTCCAGGGGACAGCACCTCCAAGCATGGCAGGTAAAAAGGGGAAGTGTGGGGAGGGGGGCGGGAGTGGGGCGGAGGCTGATACATGCCCACTTCTAGCTTCCCTCTCCCACCTTGTTCCCACCCATTATTTTTGTTTTCCTCAGCGTCTGTGTCCGCCATTACTCAGACTGCCATCTTTTGGGGCAGCTCACTGCTTTGCCTTTGTAGCCTTGACTGCCTTCTTCTGAATAGCATTTCCTATTTGTCTCCTTCCCTTCAAGCTACAATGTCTTCTGGTCCTCCAACCCAGGACTGCCTCTGCTGACGGAGCTGGTGAAGACTCGCCTGAACGGCTGGTTTCAGCATCGGCCCCCGGGGGCCCCACCTGAACGCTACCTGGGCTTGCCGGGTACTCTGAAGTGGGAAGATAGAGGCCCAAGGGGGCAAGGGCAGGGACAGGGTCAGTTCTTGATTCAGCAGGTGACGCTGCAAGTCCCCTTTTCTGTGGAGTTTGTGTTTGAGTCAGGCAGCGCTCGGGCAGCAGGGACGCCAGCCCCAGAGAGGCTGGCAGGCAGCTTGCTGACCCAGGCCCTGGAGGACCATGCGGAAGCCTTCAGCAAGCGCTTTGAAAAGACCTTCCGGCTCAAGGAGAAGGGCTTGAGCACTGGTGAACAGGCTCTGGGCCAGGCTGCCCTCAGTGGCCTCCTGGGGGGAATCGGCTACTTCTATGGGCAGGGCCTGGTGCTGCCTGACCTGGGGTCAGAAGGCTCTGAGCCGCAGGTGGATCCCGCCCTCTTCCCTCCTGTACCCCTGTTCACAGCAGTGCCCTCCCGGTCTTTCTTCCCCAGAGGCTTCCTCTGGGATGAGGGCTTTCACCAGCTGGTGGTCCAGCGGTGGGATCCCCACCTTACTAGGGAAGCTCTGGGCCATTGGCTGGGGCTGCTCAATGCCGATGGCTGGATCGGTCGGGAGCAGATCCTCGGGGAGGAGGCCCGAGCCCGGGTGCCCCCAGAGTTCCTGGTGCAGCGGGCAGCCCATGCCAACCCCCCAACCCTGCTCTTGCCTGTCGCCCGCATGCTCTCCAGTGGTGACCCAGCTGACCTGGCCTTCCTTCAGAGTGCCTTTCCCCGCCTGCGGGCCTGGTTCTCCTGGTTGCGGCAGAGCCAGGCTGGACCAGTGCCACTCTCGTACCGCTGGCGGGGCCGGGACTCAGCCCTGCCCACCCTGCTGAACCCCAAGACACTGCCCTCGGGGCTGGACGACTACCCCAGAGCCTCACACCCCTCTGCAGCTGAGCGGCACCTGGACCTGCGGTGTTGGGTGGCGCTGGGTGCCCGTGTGCTGGCCCAGCTGGCAGAGCAGCTAGGGGAGGTAGAGGCAGCCACTGAGCTGGGCCCACTGGCTGTTGAGCTGGAGGCGGAAGACAGCCTGAATGAGCTGCACTGGGCCCCAGAGCTGGGCGTCTTTGCGGACTTTGGGAACCACACAAAAGATGTACAGCTCAAGCCTAGACCCCCTCAGGGAATGGTTCGTGTAGTGGGTCGGTCCCAGCCTCACTTGCAGTATGTGGATGCCCTGGGCTATGTCACTCTTTTCCCCTTGCTGCTGCGACTGCTGGACCCTAGGTCATCCCACCTTGGGCCCCTGCTGGATGTTGTAGCTGACAGCCGCCACCTCTGGAGCCCCTTCGGCTTGCGCTCCTTGGCGGCCTCCAGCTCCTTTTACGGACAGCGGAATTCAGAGCATGACCCGCCCTACTGGCGGGGGGCTGTGTGGCTCAACATCAACTATCTGGCCTTAGGAGCACTCCACCACTATGGGCAACTGGAGGGTCCGCACCAGGCCAGGGCTGCCAAGCTTCACAGTGAGCTCCGTGCCAACGTGGTGGGCAATGTGTGGCGGCAGTATCAGGCTACGGGTTTCCTGTGGGAACAGTACAGTGACCGGGATGGCCGGGGCATGGGCTGCCGCCCTTTCCAGGGCTGGACTAGCCTTGTCTTGCTGATCATGGCTGAAGACTACTGAAAGGAGTTGAGGGATGTGGGGGGGAGCCCAGACCCCTTGTGCCACTCTGGAGTCTAGAGGGACATGGTCTCTGACTCTGCTCCCACCACCCCCTGGACACCAGAACTCCAACTTCCCTCAGTTCATCTCAGGTGTCTACTACCATTCCATACAGCCCTGGGGTGAATGTGAATCCAGAGTCTATTTTTCTAAATAAATCAGTAAAGACACAAAACTCTGCTTTTTGCCAGTCTTGCCTCACCAGTCCAGATCTCAGGACTACCTGCTGTCATCAGGAAGGTGAGATAAACAGCTGTAACCTTTATCCCCTCCAAATTCAGCTGGTTAAGTGCAGTGCAGGTACAGAGTTCTAGTCCACCCAAGTCCACAAGCAGCTGGTTCACATCTCTTTAATGAGATCAAAGGCTCCTGTGTATGGCTGGGGGAAAGGTGGGTAGAGCTAGTAGCACAGTGCCCCAACACTGCTCTTTCCTCAGGGCTCCAGCCTCTTGAGGCAGATTTTAGGAAGACCGGGAGGGGCCAAGGAGAACTGGAAGAGTTGGAACTAGGGTTGTTTCTGGTGGGCAAGTGACCCACATCATAGGATGTCACCTTCACTAGAAACCAGCCCCATGGGAGGGACCTGGGGTGTGGTCTCAGGGGGCAGTGCACAAGCAGAGTGGTCCTCCAGATCTGGCAGGGTAGTGCTCACCCTCCCCTCTTCTTTGCTGGGCTCGCCCTCACTGGAATCAGGACAAGGGCAGAGCTCTATCCCCGAGTCACCCGTCAGGCGCCGATAGCGGCACAAGGGGGGTGTGTGGGCTGGGCTCGCCCCGGCCCCAGGCTCACCCTCTTGATGAGGGGGGGAACTGTGGTGGGAGGAGACACCCTCCAGGGTCATCCCCACACAGTGCGCAGGGCAGCTGGATGCTGAGGAAGGGCAGGTACAGTCACTGGAGGCAGTCAAGGGGCGACCTGGGACCACAGTATAAGGAGGTGGTGGGGTGCCTGGGCGTTGGACCACATCTTCATAGGCTGGAGGCTTGAAGGCGCTGAGGAGGCCTGCAGGGGAGAGGAGAGCGCGGTTGGTTGGAGGTAACCAGACACAGGAAAGCATGTCCCTCCAGGGAAAGGGGGCTGTGCACTATCTACAAAAGGGAATGTGGGGACAATGCAGGATCCTGGTGCAGTAGAGGCCTCTGGTCATGGGCCTAGAGCCTCAGGTCACTCACGAAGGTCAAGCAGTGAACCGGAAGGGACTGGCCCAGCGCCGTGGTATGCCCCATGGTAGGCCAACAAGTTGATCTCCCGCTGCCGCTGCTGTTGCTGCAGCCGAAGCTTAGCCCGTCGGTGGCGGAAAGCACAACAGCAGCTAAAGAGGATGAGGACAGTCCAGAGCAGCCAGAACCCTGTGGGAGAGCCAAGGGAGGGGCACTTGGATGCCTTCTGAATAAAAGGCGCCTGGGGGTGCCCTCCTGAGGCCCCAGGGAGGGTGGGCAGGGGGACTGGAGACTCACACCAGAGCTCATAGTAGTAAGTGCAGCAGCCAGTCTCCCCGCAGCAGTGACCGCTCTCACAGAGGTAGGGCTGGTTGTTCACTCCCGGACACAGCTCACGAGGCTGGGGGAAAGGAGGCTCTTAGGACTGCAGGCCACCCCAGCCTCTCACATGCACAACCCCGCCCTGGGAGTGAAGCTCTGCTGGGTAAGATGGGGGCCGCTGGGAGGAGGGCTATCAGTGGATGGGGACTTTGGAACAAGAGTCAGTGTGGAGACAATAAGACATACAAAGAAGGGAGGAACCTCTCACACCTGGAACTGCCCTCCCACCCTACCCCAGGGGCCTCCTGCCTCAGAAGACAGTGGGAGCTATCAGAGTCAGACTGGGTAGTATGTCAGGCCAGCTCTCACCACCACCGCCCACCCCCCAGGCTGGGGCTCAGGCTTCCTAGGGTGGGGAGAGGCTGTGGGAGCCCCAAAGTAGGGCTCTCATCCGGGTGGGACTGCTGTAGTTCTAATGGATGGCACCAAGGGCACGAGTCTGGCCTGCAGCTCTTCTCCAAATTGCTCCCTCAAAAGAGGCTGCCAGACTCAGCTGTGACAACAGACACACGGGAAAACATCACCAAAAACTGTTGCGAGACACAAGGAGCCTCCCAGGGGCCTCCCTTCGCCTCTGGTCCCTGGAGAATCACTGCAAGCTTCCCCTGCAACCCTAGATGGGGTGCAGGAGGCTGCAGGCAGTCGACTGCGTCTGTTACAAAGTTTAGACAAAGCGTGGAAGGGACACGTCCAAGAACTTCACAGTACCTTTGGCCCCTTGAGCTCTTCCCCCACCCCCAAAAGAAAGGGACAAGGTGAGGGGACAGAGAAATAAATGGCTGTCGTGGTAGGCTTTGGGGGCTGTTGGGATACCTGCTGTTGCGGCGCCCGAAGTGCCCCCCAGGCCTCCTCGCTTCTGTTTCCGCCGCTGGCGCGAGCCATGCCTCCACCTACAGCCCCCTGAAGACCACAGCCTCCTCCACCGCCAGCCGCCCCGCCCCTGCCACCTCTGCCGCCACCTCCATGCTCCCTGCCCGGCCCATCTTCGCTGCCGCCACCATCACTCCCCGGCCGGAGGTTCCATCCGGGGAGAGCTCCGCCAACTAGGATCCAGGTTGCTCCGTCCTGCCAATCAGCATCGCCCCCCGACGGACGGGCCAATAGGAAGAGACCAGGGGTTTCTCCCTGTGACCAATCTGCAGCAGCAGCTCCGCCGCTCGCCCAGACAACAAGAGCTCGTACAGACAAAGACTGCGTAAGGTCCGACCCACAGGCTTGACTGACAACCGACGAAGACCAGTAGAGACTACAGTACAGGCTGTGCCTCATCAACCAATGAATGCTCCTCCAGCAAAGCAAGGATTCCGCTGATTGGCCGGAGCCACACTCTCAGGGTGACGCCAAACGCCGGAGCCTGGCAGATAATCGCGGCTGGTGCCGGCGTGAGGCGAGCGCGCCCAGAGGCCGGAGTCCGGAGGCGTCTCCTGAGGCCTGGGAGTGGCCGCGAGCTCCGGCAAAGCTGTGTGGCCCGGAGCGTGGTCTGCGCAGACCCCACGCCCCCAACTCTCTACAAGCTGAGGCACTGGAGGACATTTAATAGGATGGGAAGGACACCGAGGACGGGGCGTGGGAGAGGGCGCACAGTCCGCGTAGGGAAGGGCCTCAAGTCGCCAAAAGGGGAGACGCGGGGCCCTCGGGCCCCCCCAGCCGCAGCTGCAGGTTGATGCGGTAGCACTGCAGGCTGCAGAGTGCTTGGCCCGTGCGGGAGCAGGCGTAGCGGCGAGGGTGCGGGCAGCCGGGGACCGAGCAGCGAGGAGCGGGGCCCGAGGGGGCCGGCCGCTGGGCCACGGCGGCGGGCGCCGGCACGCCCGGGGGGAAGGACAGCGTGGAGCCCTGCGCCCCGCTGCTGTAGCGCACCATGGGCGCGGGCGCCGCGGCCCGGCCTCCCCGCCGCTCGCCCCGCGCCGCGGCCCGGCCTCCCCGCCCGCTGGTTGCCGCTGTCTTGGTGAGGCGCTCGATGGTCTGGTTTTTGTGCTCCTCGGCACGGCGCGCCGCCTGCAGCCGCCGCTTCCGCGCCCGCTCCTCGCGCTTCAGCAGCATCTCCTCGGTGAGGACGGGCGCCGGGCCGCCCCCGGCCACGGGCAGCGGCAGGGCAGTCGGGGAAGGCTGGCTCCGGGCCTTCTGGAGCAGCGCTCGCTGGGGAGAGACAGAGGGAGCGGCATCTTAGGAATTGAGGTAGATGACAGGCGAGGCTGGGACCCTTCCACCGCTCTCCAAACTGTCACCTTCAGGTTCTTGGTCTCGCGGGGAAAATCCGCCGTGTCACCGGCTGCCTGGTGGCTGGGAACTCTGCACCCTCCTTTGGAGGTGGGGTTTTTTTTTTTTTTTTTCTTCTTAAGATTTTAAAATTTTTATTTGGAAGGCAGAGTTAGAGAGGAGAGACTATAAAGAACGATCTTCCATTCACAGTTTCACTCTTCCATATGACCACAACAGCCAGAGCTGGACTGGTGGGGAGCCAGGAGCCTCTTCTGGGTCTCTCACGTGGTTTCAGGGCTCCCAGCACTTGGGCCATTCTCCGGCCATTAGCAGGTAGCTGGATCAAGTGGATGCCAGTGCTGTGCAGGCTAAAGCTTAGCTTGCTAAGCCCGGGGTACAGCCCATGTTCAATATCCATGTGATAATCTCTCAAAATTTGGGATTAATCTTTAGTCCTGTCCTTCCCATCCTCAAGTATCTACTTCCCAAATGTATCCACCATTCCCCCGATTTCCTTCCTCCCCAGCACTGTGGTCTTGATCTTGGTTTAGGCCACCACCACGTCCAGCTGATGGCTTCCACAGCTACCCCCACACACTCCCGTTTCTAGCCCTTAACTCTCACAGAGACCGCCAAAGTCACCTACTGAGTGTAATTCACATGTCACTTCTCTGCAAACAAGCAGACAGTGTGGGTGCCCTCTACCCAACAGGCCTGTTCTAGGCTTGGGGTCTTTACAGCTAAGGGGCCTGAAAAGTTCCTTAACAGAGTTCCTGGAAATGTCACCTCTCCCTGCGCCCTTTCCTGAGCACTCCCTCTCCTCTCTCTGACACTTTGTATTTCATCACCCTCCTCTCTGTTGTTATTGCAACCTACACAGCTTTGAAGTCACCGGGTTCCTCCTCCCCACCACTTCAACCTTCACACTATAATACCAGCTCCCTGAGCATAGCAGCCAGTGTCTCCAGAACCAGCATTGTGGGTTAGGCTGCCACCTGCCACACAGGCACCCTACATGGGAGCCAACCCTGTTAATGCACCTGGAAAGGCAATGAAAGATGGTCCCAGTGCTTGGGCCCCTCCCTGAACCTGTGTGGGAAACCTGGAAGATGTTCCTGGTTCCTGGCTTTGGCCTGGTCTAGCCCTGGCCATTGCAGTCATTTGGGGAGTGACCAGTGGGTGGAAGATCTCACTATCTGTAACCCTGTCTTTCCAATAAATAAATAAGCCTTAAACAACAGCAACAAAAAGACACCAATGTCTCCACCATGGATAGCCTCATTTAACTGCCTCTAAAGTTTTGGAGACATAAAGTTATCAGTTCATTCAAGAGGGTCTCAAAAAGTTCATGGAAAATCCATGCTATGAAGAAACTAAATAGATTCAAAAAATTTTTTTTTTTGCACCAAATATACTGATTTTTTAGTTCCCTGTCCCATGGACTCCCATTCGGTGGATGAGTAAAAAGCAGGAAGCAGCTCACCTGCCGGGCAGTGAGTAGCCGCTCATTGATTTCTTTCTTGAGGTCTCCATTGTCATCAAGTTCCCCCTTCTCCAGGGCATCCAGCCACCTCTGCTCCTCCTCCTCCTCCTCCTGACCTCCTAACCCCCCAGACAGGTCCCGAAGTGGGGAGGGGGACAGGTTGCTGTCTTCATCTGGGGAGAAGAAAGAACGGCTTAGATGAGACACCCCATCTGGCCCGTGTCCACCTGGGGACATTGGGGATCCTCACCCCCTTCAGAACCCACCTCGTTCCCTTAACCAGATGTAAGGAGAAAAGCTACAGTTTCCCAGGCCCTACTCACCCAGCCAGGCACGGTACTGCTCAAGGGGTACACCTTCCATGGGTTCCTCTTCATTATCCACCACCATGAGCGGGGAGGGCGAACGAGGTCCCTCGGGGATCACGGTGAAGGTGGGGACACTGCAGGGAAGCCAACCAGTCTAAGTTGAGCAGGTGCACCTCCTCCTGCCGCTGCTGCTCGGATGCTACCCTCAGCGTTGGGCTCTTGGTCCGTCTTGGAGTAAACCCAGCCAGCCTAACTTCTCTTCCTGCACTTCAAGTTCCCCAGGTAAGAACCCTGACCCCTTTCGATCTCACCTCTTGGTGCCCAGGACCTGCCCGCCCAGCTTGATTTTGAGTTTGAGCTGGGGTTTGGCAGGTGACGGCTGCGCGGGTCCAGCCTCCTCCTCCTGATGATGCTTTTTCTTGTGTTTCTTCTTGTGCTTCTTGTGCTTTTTCTTGTGCACGCCATGGCCGTGAGCTGCCGCCAGGCTCAACTCCAGTGCTTCTCCTGGAAGGAGGCCGGTCGAGGTTCGGTGGGGCGGGGCGGGGGGGGACGCACCACTGCGAGGGCCTCCCCGTTACCATAACAACGGCACCGCCCCATCCTTCCCACCCGCACTCTGGAATCTCCGGGGCACAAAGGGCCTTTCCTAAGAAGGCCCGGAGGGCTCGATCGACCCGCGCTTACCCGGCTCAGGAGCCTCCATTACCCCAGAGGTGCTTCCTCGCCGCCACAGCTTACTCATGGGGTCCTGCAAGGCAAGGGGAGGGGAAAGGCTCTGGACATAGGTAGACATGCCGTTTCCGCCCCGCGGAAGAACGGATGTCAGCAAAAGAATCGGTCACTTCCGGTGCGCGGCAACCATGTTTGTGAGGGGCGTGCCTGACGGCTAAAACTCTCCCCTGAGAAACAATAGCAATTAGGGAAGAACGTTCCGGGCGCCTGCCGAAGGTCACAGTTCCCCAGGGCTCGGCCGCCCTGAAGCCGGCGCACGCGCACTGGCGGTCCTCCCCGCGCCGGGCCCGCCTCAGGCTGGGGGCCGCGTCTGTCCCAGGACGGGGGCGAGCAGGGAGCCACCTCCAGCCCTGGGAACGGCGAGCAGTGCTGCCGACAGAACCACAAAAACGCCCAGCAGCGGCCAGGGCAGGAAGACCAAGGCAGACGGTGGTTCTGGAAGCCGGAATTCTCATCAGGAGTGAGTGACGGCGGAAAGCCACCTTGCCAGGATTTAAATCCCAGCCAGGTGTTCTAACGGGACCCCGAAATAGCCTTGGTATTCTTGTACTGTAGGAAGCTGCGGAGCTGTGAAAAGACTCAGGGCTCCAGAAGGTTATCCCTACCATTGCCATGGGTTAGCTGCGAAGTGTCTCGGAAAGCACTCTGCAGTATCTGCTGAATTTTGTAAAGAAAAAAAAAAAAGATAGTGTTTTACTTAATTAAAACTCACAAACAAGCCAAATTTGTGTTTGCTGACCAAAAAACATGGCAGGCTTCAAAGCAGTGCCTTCCTATTTTCTTTTTTATTTTATTTATTTATTTTTAAATACTTATTTGAAAGGAAGAGTTGTAGAAAGAGAGGAGAGTCAGAGAGAGAAAGAGATTTTTTTTTTTTTTAAGATTTATTTTTTGGAAAGTCAGATATACAGAGAGGAGAAGAGACAGACAGGAAGATCTTCTGTCCGATGATTCACTCCCCAAGTGAGCGCAACGGCCGATACTATGCCAATCCGAAGCCAGGATCCAGGAACTTCTAGGTATTCCACACGGGTGCAGGGTCCCAAGGCTTTGAGCTGTCTTCAACTGCTTTCCCAGGCCACAAGCAGGGAGCTGGATGGGAAGTGGAGCTGCAGAGACTAGAACTGGCGCCCATATGGGATCTCGCCATGTTCAAGGCAAGGACTTTAGCCACTAGGCCACTGCGCCGGGCCCTGTCTTCCCATTTTTAAAAGGCATTCTATGCTAGTGTGTACATAAGAAAAAAGGAATGTAGTGATGGGCTTTAGGAGGTGATGATAGGGAATTTTCACAATCTAGAACTGTAATGCATTTTCTCCTAACCCACTGTGTATCACATTAAATTATTTGTATTTGAAAGGCAGATTTATGGAGAGAGAGAGAGAGAGATCTTCCACCTGATGGTTCACTCTGCAAATGGCTGCTGCAGCTGGGGCTAAGCCAGTCTGAAGCCAGGAACTCTAGGTACAGAGACCCAAGTACTTTCTAATGATGAGCTTAGCACTGGCCATTGTAGCCAGTTGAGGACTGAACCAGTGGATGGAAGACCTCTTTCTCTCTATATCTCCTCTCTGTAAATCTGCCTTTCCAATAAAAATAAATACATATTTTTTAAAGATTTATTTTATTTTTATTACAAAGTCAGATATACTGAGAGGAGAGAAGAGAGGAAGATCTTCCATCTGATGATTCACTCTCCAAGTGACCAAAACAGCCAGAGCTGAGCCAATCCAGGCTCTTCCAGGTCTCCCATGTGGGTGTAGCGTGCCAAGGCTTTGGGCCGTCCTCCGCTGCTTTCCCAGGCCACAAGCAGGCAGCTGTTTGGGAAGTGGGGCTGCTGGGATTAGAACTGGCGCCCGTATGGGATCCTGGTGCATTCAAAGCAAGGACTTTAGCAGCTAGGCCACCATGCCAGGCCCCCCAAAATATTTTTAAAACAAAAAGACTTATACCACGTATCAAGATATATGTATGACATGGTTGACTGAACAAAGTAACATTGGTAAGCTGTCCCTGCAGTGATGGACTTATTGCACAGAGCGTGGAAATAACACATGTGGACTATCGGCTCGGTGAGATAGCCAAAGTTTATAGTGGCATCAGACTTTTATGGACTGAGGGTCACATAGGATAGGGGAGTATATATGAACAATCAACTCTATAAAGACAACAAAACTCATGAAGCTTCCTTGAGTTGCACAAATAGCCAAAATCAGTTGGAATGGCACAGAAATAGTGAAAGGATTAACATTAAATCAGACTGTAAGTCCATGATATATAACAGCTGAATACAAGTTTAACATCAAGTTTTCTGTGTAGTTCTATCTTGTTTAGTATTAACAGTTTTGAATTGAGAAAAATTTTTGGGGGAGAATCTTCAAGTAAGATTTTACAAAACTTCATGCACTTTAGGATAATCAAAATAGTTTTATAATTCTAACAAGCCATATATTAGCAATTGAAGAATAGGAAAGTCTTGGCAGGTGAGCAGAGAGATCCCCAATAACTTAGCAGGTGAGGAAAAACTGAACTCTACATCCTATCCAGTGAAATCTAGGAAAAGCCAAATAGGAAGCTTGACTAGTAAATACAAGCTGAGTGACTATAAGCTAGCTGGCTTTTTTCCTGGCTGTTCCAAACTTTATATATTAGTCTCTCTCTGTCTGAAAAGCCAAATAGGAAGCCTGATCAGTAAGGTACAGGATGAGTGATTATAGGCTAGCTGCCTTTTTTATTAGTCTCTATCTGAACTAATCTTGGGGCTCCTGAGCAACCATGATGGTCAGTGCAAGAGAGGACTGGGAGCCAAAGCTGGAACTAAGTAAGGATCAGAAAAAGCTCCTGAGTCTAGAAGGAAATTTATAATCCTTTTATCACTGAGAACCATGCAGGGCTCCTGGCTGTTGTTCTGATGTCACCAGACCCTGTGAGGAGGATACTGGGCCGCTTTAATTCCATGTAGGAAATTCGATAGGAAATGACTGACCTCAGAGTTCTTGGCCTATCAAGGCACTCAAATTTCTTGTGATCTCCTTGGCAGTCAGAATTTGGTCCTTGGTGCCCATACTGATAATCCTTGATGAAGTAGCCGCTGCATCTGCAGCAAAAGCACTTGGAGGCCTCCGGGGGACTCCAGGACTAGGATATAGACCTCCTCTTATCCTCCTGTTCCGCCCTGGGATCCACTCCTGCTCTGTACACCCAACTTCCTATAAGAAGCTGTCACGATTGCTCTTGCCCACTGCAAGTTTCTATACTTTTTCTAATGTCTAAGGCAGTTAAGAATCTGTTATCCATAAATCACCTGTTGCAATCTTAATTATACTTAAAGTGTTCATCAAACATTCTAAGAAGGTGGAAGATTTCTCTGCACTCCTGACCTGTTGTGGAATAAAAAGAATATTATAAACAAACCTGTTTTTGTTTTGTTTTCAGTTCTTAGAGGCAGTTCCACTGGGGATTCCATCTTCTTCTCCAGGTGCAGCGTTGTATTCAAGGGAGTTGTTGCACTTCTGAAGTCAGATGAGCCATAGGAAAACCCAGTTTTGAGGATCCATCTGGAAATTCTAGAGATGAGAATAACCTTTTCCACGGGTTATTGGTGTTCCGGAATACCAATTGTTAGTAGTTTTATATATACAGGAATCTGTAAAGTCTTACCAGTAAATGTAGAAAAATGTTTATCAATAGGAGTATTAATGTCTCCTTGAGGCAAATTTTTAAAAAATTGTTAAAAGGCAATTTTAAAAAAAGATTTATTTATTTTTATTGCAAAGTTAGATATACAGAGAGGAGGGGAGACAGAGAGAAAGATCTTCCATCTGATGATTCACTCCCCAAGTACCTCAATGGCTGAGCTCATCTGAAGCCAGGAACCAGGAGCTCTTCCAGGTCTCCCATGTGGGTGTAGCGCGCCAAGGCTTTGGGCTGTCCTCAACTGCTTTCCCAGGCCACAAGCAGGCAGCTGTTTGGGAAGTGGAGCAGCCGGTATTAGAACTGGCGCCCATATGGGATCCTGGCACATTCAACATAAGGACCTTAGCCAGTAGGCCACAGTGCAGGGCCCAAAAGACAAATTTTTAAAGTTAAGTGTCAAAAACATTATAGATAACATGCTTCTGGAGGGCATCCCGCCTCTTTTTATTAATTAATTATTATTTTTAAGCAGTTGGGTTTATAAGGTGTGACGTGCACATTTAACAAGTCTGAGTCACCATGTTGCTTACTCTCAGTAAAAAATATCAATGAAAATTATCAAAAGTCCGATGTCTACTGTGAATTCAGAAACAAGAGCAAAGGTTAACAATTAGAACTAAATTGTATATTAGAGAAAGTAATGAGAATCGAACTTGAGCACAAATGCATGAATGAATTAAAATGTTTTTAAAAGAACCTATTAGAAATTTAAGTTGCATGAATCAAAGAAACCTCTGTTGATTTAGCAATCTTAGTTCAAGACAGACCAATAAATCAGTTTTGATAACAGTTTAAGATCTGATGCTCTGCCAACTGAGCTATCCAGGCTGAATCAAAACCTTGAGAGAAAAACAAAAGGTCATTACTATGAAATATATCCATTAAACTTAAGACCTGTATTCCACATGCAATAACAAAACTGCCTACATTCACCTTATACTGACATAATGCCATCACCCAAATACTCCTTAAAGCAAGAACATAACTTTTGTTAATTTTAAACTCAATGAGGGGCCCGGCGCGGTGGCACAGTGGTTAAGGTCCTCACCTTGCATGCCCGGGATCCCATATGGGCGCTGGTTCTAATCCCGGCAGCCTCGCTTCCCATCCAGCTCCCTGCCTGTGGCCTGAGAAAGCAGTCGAGGACGGCCCAAAGCTTTGGGACCCTGCACCCGCGTGGGAGACCCAGAAGAGGCTCCTGGCTTAGGATCAGCATAGTATTGGCCATTGCCCTCACTTGAGGAGTGAATCATTGGACGGAAGATCTTCCTCTCTGTCTCTCTTCTCTGTATATCTGCCTTTCCAATAAAAAAATAATAAAAATAAATCTTAAAAAAAAAAAAAAACTCAATGAGA